AGGTAGTGTGTGTATATGTGTATGGTGTGAGTTTGTGTGTGAATGTTCAGAGGCTTGAGTCATCTCTCAGTAGACTTCTGTAAGTGAGCACCTCGGTGTCCCACAGGACTCTGTTTTAGGCCCCTTGTTTTTGTTTTTGCACCTGGTTACAGGGAACTCAAAGTGAATTAACAATCTGCTGATGTGGCTGGGCCCTAATTTATGGGTAAGCTAATGTCTTTTGTAATGTTTCTGAGCAGCTGGCCCAGAAAATGTCTGAACCTTCAGGAGTCTCCACAATCATCCAGAATTAATCCAGAACAGCCGTGCAGCAGAACACACCTAGAACCAGAAAGGGAGAACCACCAGTCTGGACGATTATGGAGAGAGATGATCTACCATCTGAACCAGTAGGTATGCAATTTCTTGCTAAATTTCAGGCAATGTTGTGTTATGAAATGTGTCAGTTGCATGTTGTGCAATTTGTAGTACGCTTTGCAATCGCCGCATCAGACATGCTATTGCGGGCATTAACATTAACTTCTCTTTCTCTTTCAGGTCAGCTAGCAAGTTAAAGTTATTACTTATTACTAGTAACGCATTTAATGACACAGAGACATTTGAAAGAGTCTCTAGTACTGAGGCGTGGAGCCACTGCAGTGTTCTCTTATGCTTATCAAGGTTGCAAAAATACAGTAAAAAAATGCTAAAATTGTGAAATATTATTACAATTTAAAAATAAGTGTTTTCTATTTTAATATATATATAAAATGTAATGTATTCCTGTAATGCAAAGCTGAATTTTCTAGCAGCCACTAATTCAGTCTTCAGTGTCACATGATCCTTCAGAAATGATTGTAATATGCTGATTTGCTGCTCAAGGAATGTTTTGGTTACACTTTACTTGAAGGGGTGTGCATAAGACTGACATGACACCTTCATAATCATGACATGACACCTACATAATCATGACATGACACATGTCATGAATATGACGGTTTTTATGCATGTTTATGACAACAGTCATTAAGTGTCATTCGCTCAGTTATGTAATTTTTAATGCAAAGATGACATTGTTTGAGATGTCTTTGTTATGGGCTATGGTTAGGGGTAAGGGTAGGGGTAGGGTTAGGTTAGGGTTAGGTCAAATAATGTCATATTTACATTAAAAATGACATAACTGAGCGAATGACACTTAATGACAGTTGTCATAAACATGCATAAAACCTCCTTCATATTCATGACATGTGTCATGTCATGATTAGGAAGGTGTCATGCCAGTCTTATGCACACCCCATCAAGTAAAGTGTTACCAATGTTTTTTTATAATTATCAATGTTTAAAACAGTCGTGCTGCCTAGTATTTTTGAGTAAACCGTGATAAATGTATTTTTCAGGATTCTTTGAATAATAGAAGATCGGCATTCAATGTAAATTACTTTACTGAAATTTTGATCAATTTAACGCATCCTTGCTGAATAAAAGTATTATTTTTTTCAAAAAAAGTGAAACGTCTTACTGTATGTACAATTGCAATGCATTGGAAAAGCATTCACGACTGTGTCTGCATACTTGCTTAAGGTATGTTATTCGTCTTACAGAGAGACTGCATTAGGGAAGGGCTGTTTTGATATAGCCAAAAGTGCAGAAACAAGCCAATTTCTGTAATTTAATATTTCAGTTCTTCAACATCTGGAGCTGCGTGTAAAAATGGAAAATGGAGGGATGACAGGGGCATATGACGAGAGAAAGACGAAAATACCCACTCCTCTCTTTAGAACAGATGCTCTAATCTCTGGTCTGAAACACACACATACACGCACATCAGTCCTGCAAATTGTTGATGCATTAAACAAACAAACACACTGACAAACACAACACACACATTTGACGTGTTCATTAGCAGCTGGGTTCTTCTAGTCTCGTTGCAGCCGTACTGCATGCAAACACGTGTGTGTGGCTAATCCATGGGTAATGTGGGGTATAAACACACACACACACACTTGGCAGTCATGTGTAGGTGATCTGGGTGTCATTACGGTTTGGCATCTCGTCAGCACCGATGATGACATTCAGATGCATGCTGTGCGCTTGTGTGCTTGCACTTGTGTTACTGCGTTTGTGTGTGCTTGTGGTGTGTGTGCTAGTTTGAATTGACCAAATGTTCTCCCTAACTGCTGGATCAAACAGGATTTGCTCCTCTATCACTGGATGGGTAGTCAAAGTCTCACTGCAAATAATAATTTTTGTCTTGTTTTCCAGTAAAACATAAAAATTCCTAAGTCAAGATACTTTTAGAAGGAAAATGACTTAAAAAGAGTTAATCCAAAAATAAAAATTTGCTAAAAATGTACTCACCTTCAGGCCATCCATATAGATTAGTTTGTTTCTTCATCAGAAAAAGATTTGAAGAAATTCAGCACCACATCACTTGCTCAGCAATGGATCCTCTGCAGTAAATGGGTGCCGTCCGAATGAGAGTCCCAACAGCTAATAAAAAAAATCAAGTAATCCACACGACTCCAGTTCATCAATTAATGTGCTTTTATCAGCTATTTGAACCCTCATTCTGACGGCACCCATTCACTGCAGATGATCCAAATGTTCCGAAAAAAAACAACAACATCTTAAGCCATTGTGCTTGATTTAAGATTTAGATATTTGTACTGGAAAACGACAGTACTTTTTTGCAGTGCTTAATTTCCCCCCTGTATGACCACCTGTGCTGTTGCTCGCAAAAAGTCAAGTCACCTTTATTTATATAGCGCTTTTAACAATACAGATTGTGTCAAAGCAACTGAACAGCATTAATTAGTATAAAAATAGTGTGTCAATAATGCAAAATGACAATAGTAAACACTCATTTTTCAGTTATAGACAGTTCATCATTGAATTCAGTGATGTCATCATCCAGCTCAGTTCAGTTTAAATAGTATCTTTGCAATCAAGTCAACGATATCGCTGGAAATGAAGTGTCCCCAACTAAGCAAGCTAGAGGCGACACGGACAAGGTACCAAAACTCCATTGGGGACAGAATGGAGAAAAAACCTTGGGAGTAACCAGGCTCAGTCGGGGGACCAGTTCTCCTCTGACCAGATAAAACCAGCAGTTCAATTTCAGGCTGCAGCAAAGTCACATTGTGCAGAGGACTCATTTGGTTCCTGTGGTCTTGTCCCGGTGGCCGTCTGAGACAAGGTCTTTACAGGGGATCTGTATCTGGGGCTCATCTAGTTGTCCTGGTCTCCGCTGTCTTTCAGGGCTGTGGAGGTCCTTTCTAGGTGCTGATCCATCATCTGGTCTGAATACGTACTGGATCCAGGTGACTGCAGTGACCATCTGATCTGGATACAGACTGGATCTGGTGGCTACGGTGACCTCGGAATAAGAGAGAAACAGACTAATATTAGCGTAGATGCCATTCTTCTAGTGATGTAGCAAGTACATCGGGTGTTATGAGAAGTGTTCCCGGTTCTGGTTGACCTAATTAATGCAGCCTAAAAATCCTTTAACGGATTTGAATATTAGAAGC